CTCTCTGTTTCTCATGCGTGCAAGCCATTCTCAAACATACCCACCTTATTTAAGTCTTCTTCCTAACGGTTTTAATTCTCTCCAAGTTTCTTCGTTCTTATTTTCTCACTATGCTTTCGCCGCAATGCATTGATATACTTGTATAACTTGATCACTTCCTCTACTTCCCAAATTTCGAACATTTGCTCTCATTTCACTCACGTTTCGCTTATCTGTTCTAGAAGCTCCATCCTTTGGTGCTTTCTGATTAGCTTTGAGGAATTTGAGTTCTCTGTTGTTGATTTGCTTGCGTTTTCTTTTCTTAAAAAATAAATAAACGCCTCGACGTCTGATGAAACAAATGAATCTTAAACGAGTTTCATAGCAAATAAGTCGGGGATTTCTGGCTAGAGGATGATGAATTGTATTGTTCCTTTCTTATTTATTTTCATAGTGGTTCATATTAGAAAGGTTAGGAAAGTGGTTTCAGTAGTATCAGGTTCTTCTCCAATATAGATCTTTCTTTTTTCTTGCTGGAAATCGAGTTCCTTTTCTATTAGAAAGGCTTTAATCGAAGTGAGAAACTATCTCGAGATTGGTCACTTCAACTAAAGTTGAATCTTCSATCTGAGCCTGCATCAATGGGGGGCCAATTCAGCAAGAAGGTTGTCGAAAATCCGCCCATCCTTCAACTCAATACCAACTTTCAGTACACAGCTGAGCTGAGCTCCTATGAGGCAGCATGCAGGCTCGACCCAGAGTTGCAAACCTTCGACAGCACCCTCCAAGCCCGTACGAACCATGTCATCAACACCCTGGCCCATGGCGTCGAGGTTCGAGCGCTATCCTTCCACTCATTGAAAGAAGTCACCGGGTGCCTGCTTGATATGAACCAGGAAGTTGTCAAGATCATCTTGGAATGTAAGACAGATATTTGGAAGAACCAAGAACTCTTCGAACTCGTAGAAGAATACTTCGAGAACAGTTTGCAAACCTTAGATTTTTGTACTGCTCTCGAGAAATGCCTGAAGAGGGCCCGGGATAGCCAATTGATCCTTCATGTTGCTCTTCAACAGTTTGAAGATGAAGATGGGGCAGACGGGAAGAAGAAGTATTCGAGGACATTGGAGGAATTAAAGAATTTCAAGGCCGCTGAGGACCCATTCACGGAGGAGTTCTTCCAGGTCTTCCAATCAGTTTATAAGCAGCAGGTTTTGATGTTGCAAAAGTTGTTATTGCGGAAGAGGAAGCTCGATAAGAAGTTGAAATCCGTCAAGGCGTGGAGAAAGGTCTCAAGCATAATCTTTGCTGCGGCTTTTGCTGCTGTTCTCATCTGCTCGGTGGTGGCTGCTGCCATGGCGGCACCCCCTGTTGCAGCTGCCCTGGCAGCTGCAACTTCAATTCCTTTGGGATCGATGGGTAAATGGTTTGATCCACTTTGGAGGGATTACGAGAATGCATTGAAAGGGCAGAAAGAGGTTATTAACTCAATGCAGGCAGGCACTTATATTGCTATCAAGGACTTAGATAGCATTCGGGTTCTTGTTGACCGGCTGGAAATAGAGATGGACTCTCTAATGCAAAATGCTGATTTTGCCCTTCGAGAAGAGGATGCTGTGAAGTTCGGAATAGAGGAGATCAAGAAGAAATTGGGGATTTTTGTCAAGAGCATTGAGGATCTGGGTGAGCATGCTGACAAGTGCAGCAGGGATATAAGAAGGGCAAGAACAGTAGTCCTGCAGAGGATTATTAAGAATTMCAGCAACTGATGCAGCTTTTTGGTATGCTCTATTGATTTCAAGCTAAATACATGTTAAGTTCTGGATCTTGGATCTATTGAATTGAATACCTTACCTTATGAAGAATAATAGGAAAAAAAAAAGTTAACTTTCAGATCTAAACTTGGATGGTTTCCAACTTTCATCTCTTCATGTGTAAATGTATTTATTGTTTTAACATTAATATTGTTCTTTGATTCACAAAMTTGTGGATGGTGAGTGYTACATTCTTTTACAACCATGTTTATTACTGTTTTTGGTTTGATTCAAGCCTAAAGAATTTATTTGACTGCCATGCAGATGTGAGCGAGGTACCTGGCTATAGATCAATACATGATTAAATCCCTAGAATATGTTATTCCTTCTGTTTATCAACATATCTTTGAAGTTGGAGAAACTTATTGGAAGAAAGCATCCAATCCAATTTCTTAAGTAGTAATTCTCTATGATTTGTATGACAACAAAAAGATTATGAAATGCACTAAATCCATTAAGTAGAACTCATACTATCATACAAGATACAACTGCCTAGGCATCTATTCTACATAGCTGAACTCTTAAGTTTGATGAAAAATAGCAAGGAGAAACAGTATGGGCAATTTATTTATGGAAGTGTCATGCCTCAATGCTTGTTCTTCTTCCATTATCATGGAATAAGGAAAATTAGTAGATAATAAAAGAAAAGAAGTGATGATAATGACAAAACAGTTATAGTAATAACAAGACAAGATAGTCATTCAAATGGTTTCAGCAGCTATTCCTTCTACTTATCTCCAAGTGAATTTTAATGAGAAAAAGAGCTTTAAAGACAAAGTTGTATTGATTGTATTATAGGATCATTTGTAGTATGTTCTGTTAGATAGTGTATGCCCTTAGCTCCAATCAGCATGATGTACATTATGACATTTATTGTAAATGAATAAAGTACATATTTGATTCATGTTATTGTGGTGTGTTTCTGTGTAATACCCTTAAATTAGACACATATGAGACTAATGTTAGTTTAGAATCTTCACAGCCGTTGGATAGATTTAGGGAGATTTATCCTGCCAAAACTGACACTGATGTGCCATCAAGTTGGTTGGGGTGGCTTATCTCAGCTACCAAGGTGAGGCCTGAGGCACATGCAGTGTGAGTTTTCTTGAAACCCTGAACTGGACCAAATTCTAGTATTGCCCTGGACTTTGGAGATAGATGGGAAAAACTGGAATGTTATACCTGACCCCTACACTCGATTATGATACTACACTAGGTCTCGGATTGGGCTGTCTTTGATGTACCAATTAGTGAGATCCTTAAAGGGGGTCAAAACCTGGGTATGTTGGGACAGTCCGAGAATTCACCTAAGTGGGTGACCATAGTGACAGGATCAGCCCCTTTGTCGGACAAAGTGAATGGTCGGGGAAATGCACTCTCTCTGGTGGAAACCTAAACTGCTGGCAGTGGATTTCAAATGTGTTTGAAATTTGGTTTTGCAAAATATATTTATATAGAGATATACTTATATATTATGGTGTCACAAATTGTTTGCAAAAAATTTTAATTCCCGGGATCTATGTGAGTAGAGAGTGCAGCACTGTACCTTGCAGCCGAGGGAGAGGTCATCTCTTGTCAGGTAGTGTTTGATCATTAAGGGCTAAGAGGTTAAGTGTAAGACCATTGAGGCTTATACCTGATGGGCTAATCTTGCATCTGCCCACAATCCTTGGGCCTTCATAAGATGGTTGGACCCAATGACCATTTAGTGTAAATGTTGGGCCCATTAAGAACCCATAGTGATGGACTCAGGGGTTCACTGTATTTAGCAGTGAATTCGGCCAGGCCTTGTAATAGAGGCTAGGCTAAACCCATGTGGTTGATGTGTAGATCAATGATAGGGTCCCACGCCATACAAAGAAAGCTAAGCTAGCCAACATTAARAGAAAGTGAGCCTGAAAGCTTAATGGGCCTAAAGCCCATTTCGAACTGGGTTAATTGGATTAATTAAAAAGGGGTGAATCTAGGTTTGGATCAGCAGATAAGGATAAGAGGATAACTCTTATCCACTTGAAGAGTTCAAATCCAAATAGAGATTTGGATCAGTGAACTCCTAATTTGATTAGGAATAGCTGATCTTGATATGCAAATAAGATAAGGGATTATCCTTAACACTTAAAGAGTCCAGATCCAAATAAAGATTTGGATCAGGAGACTCCTAATCAGATTATGAGGTTGTCTCTTTAAGGCTATAAATAGAGAGCACAACGGACCTGAAAAAGACATACAACACAGAAGACAACTCAGTTTGACTATTTCTGCCTTCAGTTCTTTCTCTCCATGCTCTTGCCGCCCTACCCTATTCGACCTCCATTTCTTGGAACTGATCAATATTGGATCTTGATATTGTTTCTTGCTAGAAGAAACAATCATGAAGTTGTGCTCACTACTCCATTCGATTCTTACTGAAGAATCACAAGTTCTTGTTGAAGAACTACCTGTTGATCCTGCTTCATCCTAAGTTGTGTCATCTTCAATGGAGGGAGGATTTGGTACACTCTTTGGGCGTGAACACCTGCATTGGGAGGATATTTTTGCGTGGATTCCGTATCAGGTATATCCCTCCCTAATCTTGGTTTCAGATTTGGTCCGATTTTGTTACAAGAACGAACCTTGAAAATGCAGTTTTCTAAATTGGAAATATGATTCCCGGATGGGATTAAGAAATTTTTGAAAACTTGCCCATCCTTCCTGCAGAGTTTGGCCATCCATATGATGGATCTCCCATCCCTTCATGCTCATGATTTGTTATTGCCTAAGTATATCCTAGACCATTGATGGTAGAAAGGTACCCAGTTCCAACTTGATGGTGACATTGAGTAGGAGCAGAAATGGTCTCTCCAATGGTCAAATAAATGTTGAAGTTAGATACTTAAACTCAAGACTGATGTTAGTTCATTTAACATCTTAGATCGAAGGTCTTTTTCAATAAGCCACATACTACTCAGGAGGCCAATGACCTAGTAGTCGAGATGGTTGCATGGAAAGCCCTCCATTTAGAAGGCATGGAATCAAACCAGCGGATACATAGGCTCTCTGTGCTATGGCTAGTGGGCCTCAAGTGCACCCTGCTCTGCCCCACCCCCAATTCCTCTTCTCCAAAATAAATACTATTAAGGGGGCGTTCTTTTTTCGGATTTTGAGAGGGGGAAAGAGGGTCAATGGGATTATGGTTCCCATTGACCAACAATCCCATGTTCTTTTTTCAGATTTATGTGGGGACCAGGGGAAGTTTATTTTCCTGGGTATCATTTACCTAGGTAAGTGGTACCCATCTCCTAGGTGGGTAAATAACTTTCCCACCTAGGGGGAAAGTTGCTAAAACTTGAATGGGACAAAAATGCCCCTTTTAGTAATGAATTTTTATGGCTAAAATGGTCATTACCTTATTTACCTAGGAAATCAAAGAACATAGGTAAATGTACTTACCCAGGTAAGTGTTTTCCARGAAAACACTTCCCAAGTAATTACATTTACTTGAGTAAGTAATTTACCGAAAAGCAAACGGGGCCTAAGGAGGAAAAATCATCCCTAATAAATGCAGGTAGCTTTTAGTCATGGATAATTGTTTGATTGAATTCATTTAATCCAAGACAATGCCTGGTGAGATGATTTCAGTTTCCAAACTCCTTGAAATATAAGTTCACAGAATATATAAATCAAATGTACCAAAGTCATTATTTTTTTCCTTTATAAGTGAGGGTGACAAGTCCAATATAGTGGCTTTTACAACTATCAGAAGCATTGGAGAAAAGAAACTTATATTTTCTTATATTTATTGGACCAATAGCTGTTTGAACTTAGCAAGAAGTTCAAATACATGTATTTATTCAACACAATGACACAAAAGTTGAACAAACGGAAATAATCATGAGAAGAATATTCAAAATCTGTATTTAGCATGTTACATGGAAAAGACTTATAGTTTACAAAACCTCCCAGTATTATAGCCATTTTGCTATTCTTTATAGTTGTATGTCACAATTTAGTGATTTAATATGTTAAATTTTACAAGCTAGGGTCAATCTTTCTCCAAGAAGAAAGAAAATCAACGAGGATATACACCAAGCAGATGGACACAGAAAAATGTAGTCAAGAAGCAATATTCCTTCCAAAGAAGTGGCCAATAGAGTACATACACCATGAATTGATAGACACCAGAGTTTGTAAGAACAAAGGCCTGAGAAACTAATGTAGTGAAGTTTACCTGAACTTTGACTACTATCTCAACTTAAGAGAATATATTGATAATTGGATACAACATAGTCCCTAGTTATAGAGATGGTGAGGCAATTCTGTAATCAACTTGGCATCTGCACAGTTAATTCAAGCAAGTGTACCTTAGTCAAATGTGCGTATAATGATGAGAAAAGTGTCAATCCCACAGAGACTAGATCATACTACCAAATCAATTTTAAACTAGCCTAAGTTGAACTCGTGAATCAATTGAATGAATAAAAACTAAAAGAATTAATGCAAACACAAGAACTTAATAAAAATTGAATTGATGGATGAATGCAGCTAGGGTTTATACTTCATTAAATCAAGGTTATATAATTATCTATTTAATTCAACTCAAGACCAAAATTACCCTAAGGTATATTAAAGTTACTTGCATGTGATGGTGGATTTTCCTAAATTAATTAATAAACTTTCTCAARTCATATTAATCATTTATTAATCCAATTCTACCATCAAATTTCTAAGTGATTGTCAAAAGGAAAAATAAGCATTAATTTCTTTGGAAACCTCTAATCGTAGAAGGGGATTTGACTCACTAAGCTTCCTTGATTCCCACACATGAGCTAATCATCTTTCGATATCATAGTCTATCAT